AGATGTATATATATATATGTTTGTATATGTATATGTATATATGCATATCTTTATATCTATATACATATATATATATATATATTATATATATATATATATTATATGTGTATGTGTATGTGTATGTGTACATGTATGTGTATGTGTATGTGTATGTGTATGGGTGTATATATATATATATATGTATGTTCATATGCATGCATGTGTATATACATATATATATACGTGTTGATTGTGGTGTGATATACTGTATATCCCTACCACGGCACCTTCAACTAAGACCCTTGTCAAGAGACCCAAGATCTGGGGTCACTCCTCGCAATTTTCTCTGGTTGGCTTCTGGCCGACCCGACGGTGCAGTGTGTTCGTGTGCCGCGTGAGAAGAAGGCGTTCTGCCTTGTGGGCCCCTTTTCGGCTGTAGGATTTAGGCTTTAGGCCTTGGGATCTGGGCTTCAGTGATTCAGGCTTGCGGCTTTAGGGCTTCGGGCTTATGCTTAGGCAGGTTTCATCGACAGGTCGGTGCTTTGAGGGTCTTGCGGGTCCATGACCTGGGTGCTTGGGGAGATCAACACGACTTCTTACCCTAAGTGGAAGTTGTAGAAGCACTGTGTTCGGACTGCCCTGGGCTTTGCAGTAAGCGACCGCGCCCGTGCAATGCATCTATCTCGAGGGGACGGATGACGTCGGTAGCCATTTGCCTGCTCAAGTTTCAGTTTGAAGAGCAGGTGCCAGGCATGTGATGAGCCGGAGTCACTTCATTTTTCAGCTGTTGTACGGTACTATCTGCCGTGACTGCTATCCCAACATGCGCACATCGGAGTGCATCCACCGTACTTTGCACGGACCACACTTGGCTGCCACATGCAAAGTCCGGGTCTCATCAATGCTGCTTCACCGTACTGCAGGCTTCTGAACGCCCGTATATCTGATCAGCTTTCCTTGTGTGTTGTCGTGTTGTACCTGTTTTTGTTTGCTCCGAGTCCGTAGTGCCATTCCAAGCCGTCTCGACACTAAGGTCGTGATGCTGTTGTCGCCGAGGCTACCGGGACGATCTTCGGGAAGTGATCTGCCATGTTGGAAGGTTTTGAGTGGGGGTTTGGGTTTAGGGTTTAGGAAGTTGAAGCCCGACCCCAAACATGCACAACGCCCTCGACACTCAAAGCACCCCTAAACCTTGATTCCCAACCCCCAAAACACCTCTAGAGCCTGAATCCTGGTTTCCATCCAAACTCCGAGCGGAATCACTCATCTAGGGTTCCTAATGCATCTCATACCCTAACAGACCCTATTCTAACGTGTAATGCTTCTATCAAGCCCGATCAGAAATTCTTTTGACCTATAAGGTCCCATAAGAAATCCCTCAGAGCCCTGCACGCTAAACCCTAAACTCTGAACCCTAAACCCTAAACCCTTAAACTCTAAATTACTAAACCCTATACCCTAAACCCTAAGCCCGAAATTACTAAACCCTAAACCCAAAAGCCCTGATAAAAAATCTGTCCGAGCCACCTTTATCCGATCCTTTGGGCTAGGCCCCAGCCCTCCGCAGCGCGCTGAGGCGCTCTGAGGCCCTGGGCCAGGGTTGTTTGGTGGCTGACTTGCATTACGGTTTGGGGTTTAGGGTTTAAGGTTTAGGGTTTAGGGTTTAAGGTTTAGGATTTAAGGTTTAGGGTTTAGGGTTTAAGGTTTAGGGGTGGTTTCTGATTGACCTAAACTTAGCCCCCAATCCCAAACCCTCAAGACTAACCCTGCAAAGGGTTTAAGGTTCACGTGTCGGAACTTGGTGGAGCTCGACACCTCGTGTTCGAAGTTCATGGGTTAGGCTTCAGGCGTTTCGGTTTTGGGCCAGCTCCTTGTCCAGAGTTTGCTGCGTTCCACCCGGCTAGGCTTTAGGATTTGGGGTTCAGGGCGGCGGGCTTCCCCACTGTGCCCGGAGCCCCACTCCCTAAACATAAATTCTCCATCTCAACCGACTTCCGAAGCACAGCGCAGCGCTGAAACCCGACAGCCCAAAACCCAAAACCCTCCGGTTTCGAGAGGCGGATGCCCAAGGCGTAGGGCTGAAACCTTGGGGCTCAGGATTTGGGGGCTTAGCCCTAAACCCGAAACCCTAAGCCCTAAAGCCTAAACCCCACACCCTAAACCCTAAACCCCTAAACCCCAAACCCCTAAACCCTAAACCCCTAACAACTAAACCCTAACCCTAAACCCTACACCCCTAAACCCTACACCCTAAACCCTAAAGCTTCGGAGTTTCGAGCTCGGGGTTTAGGGTCGTAAGCCGTAGGCTTTGTCGTGGGAATGAGTGCGAGCCAAGACCATCCAAGTCCCAGGCCCAAGCTAAGGGATAAGGGCTTAGGGTTGAGGTTATGGGGTTTAGGGTTTAGGGTTTAAGGGTTTAGGGTTTAAGGGTTTAGGGTTTAGTAATTTAGGGTTTCGGGTTTAGGTTGCAGGGTTTAGGGGGAGCTAAATTGAGCTAAACCATGGTGCTAGTAGGAACAGGGCGTTATCACCCTAATCCCCAAACCCTGATCCCCTAAATCCCTAAAACCCTAAGCCCCTAAGCCCCTAAACCCTTAAACCCCGAAACC